CGGCGGCAGGCCCCCCGCACCGCGCCGGGGCTGCTTTCGGCGCTGACAGCCCGGCGGGCCACGGGAACCCCTCCCTCTCCCCGAGCCGGCGGGGAGCGTAAGTGCCCGGCCTCCTCCGGGGCCAGTCGGCGGAGAGGGAGAGCGGGGGTAGCCCTGTGCCGCGAAGGCGGAGCTCGGTACTTAACTGTCTGTCACGGTCATGTCCATGTCCTCCTCTCCCGGCTGGACCTCCAGCTGCAGGGCTTTACGGCTGGGTCTGGCGAGTTGCAGCCCCACTGGCAGCTCCTCCCTGGTGAAGAGCAGCTCCACGCTGCACCGCAGCGGCTGCTGTGCGTGCGGAAGCGGAGTGGCCATGATCCCGCCGACCCCTTCTGCCAACGGTAGCTGCCTCCTGGCGAGTCACAGGCTCCGGCTGCGCTGCTGCTGCTCCCGCGTCCTTCCGGACAGCCTGGCGAAAGGCGAATGAGGCGACTTTGCCGACAAACGTCGTCCCCGCCTCAGACACCTCCCAGGACATCGCCCCCACCCCCAGAGCGCGTCCCGGCCGCTTAAGCGCCTGAGCTGCACCTGCCGGCGGGCAGCGGCTCCTGCCGGCGGGCAGCGGCACGGACACCGCCGTGGCGACAGACACTGCCGGGACACCCTCCCGCTGGTGGCGGCAGCGGCACCGGCCCGGGCGGGCAGCGGCTCCTGCTCAGCGCCCGCGGCCCTGGTACAGCTGGTGGGAGAGGCCTGCGCCCGTTCTTGCGGGCGCTGCCGTGTTAGCATCGTCACTAGAAGCTCGTAGCAATGACTTGAGGAGAAGGTTCACTGACCCCAGATAATTTGGCTTATCCCTCCCTGGTGTTTCCCCCTCGGACCTGTTTTCGAAGAGTGCACAAGGGTAATATGGAGCAGCAGGTGACGCTATTTTGCTATAGAAGTTTTCGCTGGTTTGTTGTTTGTGGGTGGGTGTGTGCCTCTGTGTGTCTGTGTCACTGTGTGTGTGTGCGCGCGTTCCCGCCCCGTCCTCGTAAAAGGAAAAAAAAAAAAAAAAAAAAGCCCTGCCGGTTACTTTTGTTTGTATGCCCCAGTGTCAAAGAGACACCGTGATGGTAAATTAATGAATATTTGAGAAGACCTCTGAGCTTAAAAGTACTGTATGAAGGTTAAACGGGCCTCACCTCATTGAGTTTCCAGGCTTTATTGCCACAGGTAACGTCAGTAATGTTCTTTGGATCCAAATGGTGACTTGGGCTATCCTGTCTAGCTGGCTGGAAAGGAAGCAAATGTACACACCCCGACAGAGTTAAAGGGACTATCCTGTTGTACAAGATGATCTCCCGACTACACAGAGACTTGTTCCTCTGAGCCACTTAACCTACAAAATGTACCGAAGTGGCACACGTCACTGAGCCTGTGTTCACACGACTGGGATGGTTTGTCTGTAAAGACAACGCAGTTCTGCAATAGCACTGTTTTCTGCCTGGATTTAATTTCCCCTTCTGAGAATGAAAATGAGGTACCACCTCTTGATTCTTCTGTGAAGGACTTTGATGTTATTTACCCCTGTATGAAGGAGGAATAAGGCAGTCTGCACATGCCATCTGGTGTTCGTGCATAGCGTACTGCACGCAGTGCATGCTTTGGTGCCCAGCTGGATTGCTTATACCCAAACCCAATTCCACAATCACTTAGCTAACCTCTGCAGCAAAGAATGGAGATTTCTGCGCTAATTCATCACTGCAGTGAAAGGCTGAATAAATATAAGTAAGGCAAGACTGCATCTGTTGAGCCTAGAATAAAGTATCTCTAGGTAGCTGAATACAGGGCAAATGCTGGAGTAAGAGTTGTAGAAGTTCAGTGGATAAGTAATGCAGATAGATTCTGCCTCTCCTAGATGTGAGAGCCTGATAACATACCAGCCAAAATGGAGCAACTGGCAGGATGTTGCTGTTGTTCACAATGCCCTGAAAAAGCTGGCAAGGGTAGTGTGGAGAGGTGATATTTTTTCACATGTACAAGGAGACGGTAGAGTATCATTTTAGACTAGTATCTCTACTGGATGACTACCTCACCTCCGTAGAAGTGTGCCACTGATCACTTAGTCCTCAGCAGTATTACTACTTCTCACACCTGTAAGGGGTAAAGTGTCCCACAGAAGAGACCTGTCCACTTCAGGCAATAGTTATTGCTGCTTTTACCACCTCAGTTTCAACTTGCAGCCTTGCTTTCTGTTTAGGTTCAGGCACCACCACTAAACCATTAAACTGCTACATGGCTGTGGCTCCAGTACAGTAGTTTTTGTCTGAAACAGTGAATGTGATGTAGCAAGGTTGCTTCCTGAACCAAATGTGCTTTTTTTCGGGGGTGGGAGGGGTGGGATGGGGGGCATGGGTGGAAGAGGTCTGAGATAATATCTGCTTTACAGCCCTTTCCTGTATTTGCTCACATACAGAGCAAATACAGGGCTCCAACAACAGGACAATGTATCTGGAAAAAAAAAAATCCATATTCCTAGAAGTTTGAGTAATAACAACTAGTGTGAGCTGGGATTACAGAAGACAGGGAATTTTGACTTGCCTTTTAGCCTTTAATGTACATCTTAAATTGTTACATGCATCAGCAAAGAAAAAACTTTCAACTGACTATCTATTTATGTTCTGCTTTTGTACTTTCTGATTATTTTCCTATCCAGATTTGTATCAGTCTCTTCAAACTATGGTATTATTCAAGAATCTGAGGAAATAACTTCAAGGGTTATTGCTCAAACTGTGTACTACTGTATCCCTCATATAGTGAATTCCACCAAAATTTGACTGGAAATGCTATTCACGATGTTCCTCACCTCACTGCAAATGCTTTATTGTTAGAATGCACCACGTTTGTTTCAAAATTCATCTGTGGAACTAATAGGAAAACAATTTTAAATCCAGTTTTGTCTTTCATTGTCTATCAGTGAAGGCAGCAATATGAGACCATATTAAATTAATGCTACCAACTAGTTCTTCACTAATAGCATAAACACTAAGTTTTCAGTATCTCTTGCTAAACCAAGTATTTTATATTTAGAAATGTGAACCAAATTTAAGTCTAGTGGTGCACCAATATATTCTATTAAATATTATTGTTAAGCTGCTTCTGACATTGAAAGCTACATCTAACAGGTCAACCAGCATTTGTTCCACAGGCATATCCTGTCCATTTATGAACTGACTATAAAAAAACCCTCAGAATGTGACAAGTGCTGTAACACAGAACTAGATTTGAATTTCCAGTTGGACTGCTGGGTCTGCAGAGCCCCACTGCTTTTAAAGGAAAAAGCAACTACAATTATGATCCTGCTTCATGAGTTTAAAGATATAGGATCTGGTGGTGGTAAATGAGAAAAGTTCTTTCTCTTCTAGACATGGCAGTAAGTTTTGTCTATAATGAATTTGCTACTTGACCACTTTTAAATTTTTTTTTTTAAAGTCCACCCAAACTTTCAGGAATTTTAAATCAATTCCCCTTAATAGGAAAAGGATAAAAAAGCTTAGCTGTGGTACATTATCCAGCATAGATATTGTTAGATATTTTGTCAGGAGAAACATCCTACAAGACATTTTCTTGCCTACATGTAATGCAGTTGGTGTAGTAGAAGCATGAATTTGATTTGGATTTCCCAAAATAAGTGGATGGAGGTAAAGTGTACAGATAGAAGGATCACAATTTCCAAAGACACACAGAATGGACTCTCTACCAGAAGTCCACAGGAAGGGAATGATATCTTTTATGTAATAATGATTAGCCATATTTATGGATAAAACATTCTTGTATTTCACACATACAGCCAGAGTAACTTCAGAATCCTTCAGTGTTTGCTTCCTTTGGAAAAAATGCACCTTTGAAAGCTCTGAGGATAAGTATGGTTGCAAAAGCTATTGTGTGTCACATCTGTGACCACAACAGTTAATCCTTTCAGAGGAGTCTGCCTTGACCCCATAGCAAGGAGACAGCTGCACCTAACAAATGTGAGAAAAAGCATCAGGAAGTTCTGTCTGACCTCTGAAACTAGCAGTGTTTGGGGATTTCTCTTTCATGCAGACATGAGATCCATGAGTTAGGTAGGAGCATTATTCTAACAGCTGAGCAACGTCAAAATGACAGCTTTCCTACTTACTATCTCATGCTACCAACCTGAAATTACTTTGATATCATGTTGGTCACTGGTGGATCACAGATAGAAATCTTTCTTCTGTGATCCTGAAGCCAGTGGAAAGATCCATCAAGAACCCGGGGAGCATGCCATCCTATTTCAGCTGCAAGCCTCCCTTTGTTGGTGAAAGTGGGCTTTCCAGGCTAGGGCTGTCCTGTTTCCTTGCAATGTTACTTACCACACCTTTTGATTTTGGCTGGTTGCCTTTCTTTGGTGAAACTGGAAGAAGAAGGGGAGTCTAAACCTTCTTAGGCATCAGAAATTTTTGAAAACCAGGGAAGTACAAGGATAAAGTGATTGCAATTGTCCGAAGCAAAAGTCAATTTGTCACTCACATGGGCCAGTAAATTCAATGCCTATGTTGCAACTACACAATTCTTTGTGACCCTAACTTAAATTAGTGTGTTGTTATAGCAGCTTCTTTAGCTGTTTCTGCAGCCCTTCAATATTGGTGGAAGACAATACAACCTCACATTACAGCTTCTGCAGATGACCAGTTCATGAACCCTTCTTCTAAAGCGCATACTAAAGGGTATTTTCCCAGTAGCTCTCTTAAACTGTGCTTTAACAACTCGAGTATTGTAAATATGCTTCTGCCAGTAATGCTTTATGAAAGAAGAATCTGAGCACTCTTGTGCTTTCAGCAAGTTGTCAGGACTTTCTAACCAACAAGTGTCTCCAGCAGCAGAGACATTAGCACAGACCACTTCTGGCAACAGTTTGAGCAAAGGTGGCTAAACCAGAACTGTGCTAGGACACGATCTATTAGTGTGAGTCCATTGTGGGGAAAGGTAACATCCAGCTGCAAAGAGAGAACAGCTTGATGCAGCAGTTTTTTGATGTCACTTCCAGATAGATCTCCAAAAGTATGTCTGATTTATTAACTACTAGTTACTAAATAAGCACTGACTGACAATGCCTTAAACTCTGATAATGAAAGCAGCAGCAGATTTTGTGTGCCATGTGCCAGTGAAAAATGTCTATATGCAGAGTGAGTCCTAATAGAACAGTTCTGCTTATAAAATTGTTTAGAATAAACTGTCATCAGCAATACACTGTTGTCAAGGAGGGGTTGTTTTGTTTTTTGATGAGAAACGTCCTACTGGTTAGGTTAATTCAGGTATTGGGGAAGAACATATACAAGGAGATTTAACAAAATTTGGCATGAGATCTGCAGAATGAAGTCAATAAAAACTCTCTCTAGCATACTGTTAACAGTGTCAAAAATGGATCGAGGTTTTTTCCTTGCCTTGGTCAGAAACCTTTGCGGAAAAATAA